AACTTTCATCATTTGGTTAGTGACTAATGAGAAACATAGTGCTTACCATAAAATATTCATGGCCCCATATGTGTTTTTTTTTCTTGTCATAATATCATCTGCAATGTCTCTTGGTTGCTTGTCATAATTTCATATGTAATTAATCTTTCCCTTGTAAGGTGATCTAGTCTGTGTGGGGTTGTTCCTACTAAGATTGCAAGCCCTACTGCACATTGGAGTATTTTGATGATAATAACCTAAAGAAAAGCTTGTAGGGTGCTTCTGATTATGTGTGCCATGTATAATTTATTTTATTTTATTTTATTTGTTGGGGTAGGTGGATGGGTAGTTTCTTGTGTGCTTCCAGGTTGAGTTGTGGATGTGCTTTTTGGGGTTGGAGTGGTGGTTTTGTTCAAAGTCCAAATTTGCACATTAGGGGCCCTTTATGCATTTTTTGTTGTTTGTGGTTGGAGTGGAATAGGGGAGCTTTAAAGTGGATCAAATGTTCTTTGGTAGAGTTAAAAATCAGCTGATATCTTTGTTTGAATACTTTCATAGGAGTTCTTATGCATATTTCTTTCTTTTTTTGGCTTTCCTTATTGTTTTTCATTCTTTTTTGCCTTATCTCTTGTATGCTTAGGTTGCACCACCTTGGTACTTAGGATTATCTTGACTTATAAAAGAGAAAAGAAATGTTATTAGTTGGAAACATCAAATGGTTAAGTTGCCAGTTTACCTATTGCTTGTTAAGTGATGTGTTCTTGTCATATTATTAGGGCGTTAGGGCGATGCTGTTATGGTTACTAACTATTATGTTTTCATTAGGTGCTCATATCACTTATCATCTGAGTCAGGAGTGCACACATGTGCTTGTTGACCAACTCATGCCAGTAAAAGAAGATATGCTGGATGCTATTGTGGCGAAGAAACCTTTTGTTCTTGGTAGTTGGGTTGAGGTAGGCCATAGTTTAAGATCATGCATTGCTTTTGTTGGGTGAATGATTGTGCTCGAAGTCATTTAACTTTATTTTTTTTGGTTTCTTTGATTAGTTTATTGTGATCCATGGGTATTATTATGGACTGGTAAGACTTGTTTTACCTTTTTTTTTTGGGTCTAAATACTTGTTTTACCTTCAGGTAGGAGTTCTTGGTTTATATACCTCTTCTAACTTTCATCAGTTATTGTATTTGTGGTGCTTACTAAAGTTTAAATTGAAATGGTGGAAGATGGAAGAGGATATAATAAAAGTTAAACCTAGAATTATCTATAACTAGGTTGGGAAATTTTTAATGAAACATAATTTTATTCCAGTTTTTTATTGTTACTAATTGCTGCGGTTTATTAAGTTTCTTGCAGAAACAAACATTCGCACAGAGCTTCCTAGTTGTGAACCGTGAGTGTTAATTATAATCTTATTTTAAATTTAACTTTGCTTCATTGAGTTATTTGTATATCATCAACGGTTGTTCTGATAGAAGTATTCTTTCTTCTGTCCTGTAATCAGCTTTGCTCCAACACTAACATTTGAAGGAGTATCAGTCAAACTTGCAGACCCGAGAACTCGTGAGAACTGTTTGGAAGGGTACACCTTTTTGTTGGACTCAAAACCTGTGGTAAAGTTTTGATTTCTTTAAACCTTTAGAAAATTTAGAATCATTTTTCTGAATTCAAATGACTTTTAACTTTTATTCCTAATACCATTGCAAGAGGAAATTATAATTGTTTAACTGTTCATAATCTTTTATATTAGAGAAATTTGTTAGATGTTCACAAGTGTGCATTCAGCTGTTGACAAACTTACATGCAAACACAAATCAGTCTGCACTGAATGTTTTATTACTAAAGTATGATTCTAGAAGTTGTAAATGGTTTTGGGTAGATGTAATGGATAGTTTTGTTGCTCACTCAAAATTCATGTTTGAGAGATCAATTCTTGTCTGTGAACTGAAATGATTGCACTATATGCTGATCTGTTGTATTTTTGTGCTTTCACAGTATAAATTCATGAATCGCTTGCGGTCCTTACTGGAAGTGAGTGGTGCGAAGATTCTTTCGATTGATGGGTTTAATTTGAACAGCCAAGTATGATTCTATGTTTTACATTTTGGTTTACATCTGAACTCTGAAAAGAAATATACATTCAACATGATCATTTTCTCTGGTTTATTGTGATACTACATATTTGGTTTATTATTCTGAATCTTGTTGAATGTATATTTCCTTTCAGAGCTCAGATCGCGGAGAAAATGATCATGTTGTATGTGTTATCCCGGAACAATCATCTGATGATTGGTTCAATAAGCTTGGTTCACTATTAAGAGTGAATGAGACTGGCTTAATATCTGCCATTTTAAATGGACGGCTGGATCCAGCTATGTTAAAGTCACCTTGTGGTGAGTATTCTTGTTATCTTTTGGATACATGTGTCAACTGATTAAAATTGAAATCCTTCTAGGTTACCTTGCTCTCACCTTCATTATAGCAGCCATTGTCACTGAAACAGTACCGCTTTTCCATTTTTCTTTTTCCTGCTGTTAGTCTTTGTATTGCCTCTACACTAGTTTCTTTTTTCATTGAAGTGTGAGAATATTATCCACTAGTGAAAGAGGCAAGTACTTGTGTGTGCATGTTTTCATTCTTTTGCAAAGGTAATGCACCTGATTCTGTGCTCTTCTGCAGTAGTTGTATCATCTTCATGCTCCACAGATGAAACTGTGGTAGCTGATTCTGATACGGAAGAAATAGCCACTTCAGTTTTGGCAACTGCATCTCTTGGCACCAAAGGAGTTGTAGAAAATGCAGCCCATGAAATCTCCATGAATCATGCAGCTCCTAAATCCGAGGATAACTATGTCATGAGCTATGGACGCAGTAGTGACGTATCCACTGTAAGAGGCAAGCTTGATGAATCTGAAAGTGGAAATGTAGATATTATTTATAGCCAAGATTTGATTGTGCGAGATGCAAGCATACCTTGTACCATTGCTACTACTGCAAACCACAGAGTTGTAAATTTCAAACGCTTCAGAAAGGTAATGATCTAAGCTTTCTCAGTTCCATAGGATATTGTGCAGTGAGGTTTCAATCTGTCGCATATCGTTTACTATATATTTCGGCATGTCAAGAGATAATACATGGTCAACTCCTGTTTATGTTGTGTAGTTTTAAATAAACCTGATTTATGTTGAGGTTTCAATCTGCACTAGTCTTTTAAATTTTACATTTTGGCATGTTGAGACATCATCAAATCCTGTTTATCCTGTGTAGTTTTCAATTTTTCTGATTTATGCAGCGGCTAAGTCAATCCCAATTTTCTTAAGATAAGCCTACCAGTGTTTGGCTTATCCGAGGAAAAGGCAGCCCAATGATCTCTTTTTGCATGTTACCTTTAAAAGTATTATGCACTTCGTCTTTGTTGTCCAGCTTTCAAGTAGGCTGATTTATAACACAATTTATATGTAATTGTCTCGATATTTTGCAGGCAAATATTCAATCTGGGAATAGCTTCAACAATATTATTCCATTCTTAAAGTACCCATATAAGTAAGACCATTTTACCAATCCTATTCAATTTATTTATGATGTTTAGAACATCACCAGGTGCACCATTATCTATGCCTTGTTTCTTGATGATAGAGATTCTGACTATGGGGGTGAGGAAGTGCTAGAGTCTGTGAAAGAAGAGAAAAGGAGAAAGCAAATGGAAGCTGTTTCTGAAGAATTATTTAATAACGAAGGGTAATGCTTCTCTTTTTTCTTTCTTTGGCTAATTAGAAGAGGATATGCCTGAGAACTTACAATCTGTTTCAATGATGTAGGAGTCGTCGTCGTGGCGTAGCTGGTTCTATTCGTGGGATTCTTAGTCATGGTTAAAAATGTTGAACTCCTAGCCCAAAAGAAAACAGGAAGGTAATTTGCTACATGATTGTATGCATGTATTCTTGTGTGTATGTATTTTTGTGGGTATGTGTTTGCATTTTAATTCATAAGCATCTATGCTGTTTAATCAGTTTTTATGTGATATATTTTTTGCCAATTCAGTCAGCTGATTTAATGCACTAATTATGCACGTAACGGAATTTGAAGCCCATTTGATATTGGCAACGATTCTATTGTCATCCAAAAATGTAAAATAAAAGTTGTAATTCTAATTTGATGAAAAATGGCTAGAAATAGAAATATTGGATTAGCTTGGAGAAGGTAAAGTGGCAGAAGATCATAAAACAAACGGCCAAACAGCTATTACAAGAAAATGGGAAAAGATTTCAAAGATCCTAACATGGCAATTTTGCAATTTTGCAGGCAAAACTGTCACAGCAGCAGCAGCATGGCTAGCAACTACACAACTAACTAAGCGCATTCAGGAGCCATCGATAATTCTGCTGGGAAATGTCCATTTCGGGATGAGAACCAGCAGGGAAGTGTGATCTGCCCGTTGGTCAGCGTCGCATGTATTTGCTATCTTGTATATTTTTCTGATATAAAATTGCTATCTTGTATATTCCCCTTGTACGTATATATTTTTTAATGTAGATAATTTTCTATGGTTCATAAAATGCCTTATTTTTCTTTTTAATGTAACTTGTAAGAACTTGTCAAGGCCAAAAACCTAGTACAATCTTCATCCTAAAATATCAGTTATCCTCCTAATTTTGTCACAGGGATCTCTTTGGATGAATAGTTGAAAGAGATACCATTTTGTCAGAGACGTTCTGCAATGTGGTTCAATAATCCGAACTATCTAGTTTTTAGATTTCCGTCTAAAATGGTTACCTTTGATTATCATCATGAACATTTCATTCATTTATATTGTAATGCTTAAGTTTTTCGTTTAGTTAAGGACAGTATGTAGCTTACTGGTGTGAACTTAAATTTAAGAACAAAGAAGGAAGAAATTTATAAACTGTGAAAGCCATAAATTAATAGAGGAAATAAAATAAAACAATATGCCTGAATATGAAAGAATACAAGTATATGTGGTATATAGTATGTACAAAGTATACACCAATTCAGATTAATCCTTCGCTACTTTCAAAAGAGCAGCGGATAAAATAGGAAAAATCTTTAGTAATGAAGAAAATAGGTAAATGTGAAATGAATCAACGCAAGATGGGTAGCGCCCACGGGACAAGAATAAAAGAAGCTCTCTCCACATGATCCTCTATGTATGCATGTAGCCTGAAGCCTGTAGCCTGTAGCCTGTATTGTAAGAGATTATAGCCTAAACCTGAACTTACAGCTACTGCTTTGAATTGTAATATCATTATTCGCGGAAACACTGTCCACCAACAACCTGCACCTCACCAAGAATTTGACCTTTGGGAGCTTCAAGCCGCCCAGCTTAATCCTCACAGGTTGCCTCACTCTGAGAGTCAGCGGAACATTGCCCGTCTGCTGCTGCTGTTGTTGGAGGGTGCTGAGCAGGCCGCTTGCATCTGGGTTCTGTCCTGTCAGCTGGACTACAAGTTGAGTGGTGTTGCGGTGACCCTGGTAGAATTTTGGCAAACCTCCTTCACAGAGCTTAGTGCCTGTGTACCAAACATTCAGGCGGCTGCCGCCTTCGTAGTAGATGCCGATCTTCTTGTTGGGGTTTCGCGCAGTGATGCTCACGTCGAAGGTGGCCGACAAGCTCTGATCAGCACTGAGATTGAACTGGGTTATCTGCAGTTTGTCCACCGTGAACTTTGGAAGCTTTGGTCTGAAAACGAGGAATATAATTCCAGCAGTGATGGCAACCACAATGATTTGGAGCAAGATCAGGCTTACAGTCCAACAAAGGCACCTGCATAAACAGCTCCTCTTCCTGCGAATGGGCGGTGGCTTGGAGTGCGTCACCGGAATAGTCCGTCGTGGGAAGGGAGGATACTGCCCCTGGTGATGATAATCAGCTGGATCACCTTTGTCCGATTTTGAAGCTCCAGTTGGTACCAAGGGTGCCTCAGCTGCTGCTGCCGGTGCCTCTACATCTGGATAGATTCTTTGGTGATCTGCCATTTGGATGGTATTATAAGACGAGTAAATCACTAGTATCAGCGAGATCACTTCCCTTCAATGTCTTCCTAGCTCCTCCTTCTTTCTCAATATATAAGACCTGTATGAGGAGGGCAGCCTTCAACTTTCAAGGCAAGAAAAGGTCGTAATATATATGTTCACATATATCACACGCCACGCGTTTGAAAAGCTTCCTATCCTTGACTTTCTAGGAGCTTTTGTATTCTTGTTGTATGATATTTATTGGTTATGCGCTCCCCCTACCTCCCTCCGCCCTCCTTCCCTGCCAAATATTCAACAAACCAAACGTCTGTACATACTACATACATAAATACATATGCAAAATGTGTGACTTTAAGCGCCAACGGAACGGAACTTTCTTGCGTTGCTTGCTTGTATTTATAATTAGAAGCGATGCGTTGACGCGTCTGATAATACTCCATATGTTAAAACACCTTTCATCTAGAAGACCATCAAAATATTTGTTTTTCTGACATATCCCAATGTCTTACTTTTCAACTTTTCTTTAATTTCTTAATTGATATGCTTTCTATTGTTTGTCTTTGGTACTCGCATACCATGCTTTCTTTTGTTTCATTATTGCAAGTTGGTTGCAAGGCAAGTATGCTCAAACTTAGTGTTTTTGTTGAGATGATCAGTCTATAGAAATAAAATAAAGTCAGATTTAGACAGTTTCTAATATTTAAAGAGAAAAAAAAAACTAGCCAATCAGGAAGGTGCTGAGGTTAATGATGACCATAATAAGGTATAATTCATAGAAAACTTCAACTGAGGGCTTGTTTTTCATAATATATAATACACGTCATTTGATTTGAGATCCCATTACCTACCCCACATGACTGTGTCATGCAAGACGCAACCAATTGCAATTGTTAATATTGGAATTAGCCTCATCGCGTTTAATCTAAAGACTTTTGCACTCATATCATAGCTTATAACTTATAGGTGTGAATTATATTTTTGGTCTTTGTCGTTTGAATCATTTTTTTCACTTTTGTCCTCGTTGTTTTAATTTTGACCATCTTATAATCGTGTGATTTTTGTTTTCCTTTTAGCTATACTACCCTTGTGTTATAGCAAGTGTTTCACATTGATTGCCCTTTGAAAAAATTATTTGGTTTTCGAACCCCTCTAACAGAGCTTGAGGAAAAACAGGTAAAAATAGGTTGGAATTTAATATTTTTCCCCGCCTAAAAAAATGAAAGAAGAAAAAGGTTTGGATATTTGTAAAGTGGTAGACACGTGGCCATAATATGGCCCTTTGGGTAGACGAGGATTTTCTTCTAGTAGACGAGGTCGCTGGAAATTTATAGAAAAAAAGAAAAGAATGCTGCGGCTATGCTCCTCCTCAGTTTCAGCCTTCTCTTGCGGCGGCTGCTATTACCAATTCTTCTACAACTACCACCCTCCTGCCTCTGTTGATATTACGTGGCCACCGAGTGGGTGTAGTAGGGTCAACAATAGTGTCAAAAAACGAAACAATGTCCCAATCAGAGCACCCAGTCCACTGCCATACCATTCTTCTACTTGCCTTGCTATTTCTCCATGCAATGGAAAACCACCCAACAACAACTGTAACTACAACTCCCTCCATAAATTTATTGCCAATTGTACCCCTTCTACTGATACTGGTACTGAGTCTACTGACACCGGGCTCCAAGATTCGTCGTCGTTTCCCGCCGTTGATTGTGTGGGGACAGGCCAGGACGTAGAGTGCGCGGTCTCTTCCTCATCCTCCGAAGAAACTCAACAACAGAGGACCGTTGGAGTGGAATTGATACAACAACAGCTGCAAGAATGGACAGTATTGGTCTCTCCCTTCTTCTTTTGGGGCACCTCTATGGTGGCAATTCTCCTCATTGCGTTCGCCGCCTCTCGAGGCCGCCCCTTTCCATCTGGCCTCACTGCTTGGCTATCTATTGCGCTTTTTGGCCTCGTCGATGCCGCTTGTTTTCAAGGTTTTCTTGCTGAAGGTTTGCAGAGGACATCTGCTGGTCTGGGCAGTGTAGGTTTCCCTTTTATTTGTACATAAAAAGTGGCTCATTTCTAGTCCAACTGACTCTTCTATTTATCATGACCATTAATTTGCTGCAGGTTATAATTGATTCACAACCTTTGACGGTGGCTGTACTTGCGGCCTTGTTCTTGGGTGAGTCCATTGCGTTCCTTGGAGCTGCAGGGCTTGTTCTTGGTATCATTGGACTTTTACTTCTTGAGGTAAATCTTTACTTTTCTTCCATGGCGTTGTCAGTTACATTCCATTGGCTTTTGATTACTCTAGCCAATGCTTGCTTTCGCGATTTCCAATCTTGAATTCACAACTTTAAGTGGAGACCAACAACATGTGAATTCACAACTTTTATTTGGTTGACAAAGACTGTTTTTTTTCCACAACGGAAAATGCTTCCCAAGCGTGGTGAATGTTTTGCCATTATCAACTGTTAATTCTTTATGATGTATTATTAATTTGACATTGCTCGATAGAGAAACTTCCCTGAATTGGTAGTTCTAATGGTTATCTTAGCTCCTCTGTCAGATGCAACCGTAAGGCCATAGAAAATGTTTGGTTCATTTCTTCATCATGGATTTTAATCGGGGTGATCTTGTGAGGGAACTTTGGGGGAAAGTGGGAGAGTAGAGTGAGATTGTTGATGATGCTAGAATAGTTTAACTCGTGCAGTTAGGTTTCAAATATAGCTTTTCTGAGGTTGTAGTGGGAATATTAGTTGGATGTCAGCTGAAAATTCGCTTTCATGTTAAGTGCTATAACAGATATCTTAGCTTATGAAATTATGTATGTAATTGTGCACGCTTTCATGTGGTTGTTATCTGAGAAAAAGGGATTTGCATGAAACCTATTGTATTGCCACTTTAGGTACCATATAGTTCTAAGCTTTATTCTCCAGGCACCTTCGCTTTCTGTTGATGGAAGCAACTTTTCATTGTGGCAAAGTGGGGAGTGGTGGATGCTTCTCGCAGCTCAGAGCATGGCAGTTGGCACAATCATGGTGCGTTGGGTTTCCAAGTACTCTGATCCCATTATGGCAACTGGATGGGTAGGCAGTATCAACTTACCTATTACTGACATTATTTTCTGGGTTTATCTTATAATTGTGTATCACAGTTTCAATACTTTGATAGTTATTTCAAGCATTATCACCTTCTTCAATGTATAAATCTAAAATGGGATGTTAAATGTAATCAATGTTTGAAGAAAGTTTTAAATCGCTCTCTTTGTGTCTACTGCTTTATTTATTAACCGATTTTCCAAAGCCTAACTTTTATTTGACAACATACCTCTCTCCTTATATAATATCTCAAGAACACATAGAGCTTAGCGATGAGTGTGTTTATGGTTGCAGCACATGGTTATTGGTGGTCTACCCCTTGTTATGATCTCCATTCTTAATCATGAAAATGCTGTTAGTGGGAGTCTAATGAATTTCACAGAAAATGATGCGTTGGCACTCCTTTATACATCCATTTTTGGAAGTGCCATCAGCTATGGTGTATACTTCTACAGTGCAACAAAAGGTGTGCTCTTATCTTTTATTATGTATAATTTGTCTTTTCATTTTATTTTCAAACCTTGTGATTCACTTTTACTTATATTTTAAAGATCTTTACAGTCAAAATACATTTCTTTCAAGAGCTATTTGTTCTGCCTTAGTCAATTTGATTCGCGCTATAAATTGTATAGTATCCTCTGCCTGTAGAATTTGAGATGCTAATTTCTACTGGATTTCAGGTAGCCTGACAAAGCTCAGCTCCCTTACCTTTCTGACCCCAATGTTTGCTTCTATATTTGGGTAAGATCATCCATACACACAGAAAAAGAACAATAATAAATAAACTTGCTGTGCTGTCAACTGTCTAATATTTGTTTAACTATAAATCTACCAACTCTACCAAAAAAATAGTTCAGCAATGAAGCAGATTTTAGGGACTTTCTTTTTTATTTTTCTGACAATATATTGTACATGCCTGCTAGTGCCTGATAGGAAGCTAACTGCAGGTATCTGTATCTTGGTGAGACCTTCTCACCCTTGCAATTGGTTGGGGCCATCATTACTATTGTTGCAATATACATGGTCAACTATAAAACCACTGTCGAATGAAGCATATAGTCAACAGGGATGCATTGAACATGTGAACGAGGAGAGGTAGTTAGGTTGATTGGCAAGCTGGATATTGGCCCTCTCACTTTTGCGGCTTGTGTTCTATCTTCTATATTAAAAGAAGAGTTGTGAAAAAAATACATCAGAAGGGAAAAAGGACAGAAATTCGGACATCTTACCATGCATTTAGTGGTACTAAAGTAAAGAGAAAGGGCCGAATTGTTGCAATCATATTCTCAGAGCATAGCATTTGGTTGCCTCTTATCTCACTGCCATAGCCACACCCACACCACATGGTACGCTTGTATACTCTGGCTGAACTCAGAAGCTGCAATTATGAATTAGTCATTTGCATGGAAAAATTATGTCTTGATAAAGATCTTATTTGTAAAGGAGATTGTCCATGTTATTTGTACAAATGTGAATGAGTGTATGTTGTATTGTGGATTTCCCCCGTGAGATTAAAATCGTTAATACTTTAGGTATTCCCTCAATGACAAATGGAAAACTAGGCAGGCAAACAGTGTAAATGATTTCGGATTTGATCGTTTTTTGCATGTGTGATTCTAAAATAATTGATGGTGCAGATGATTATAATTCAAGCTGGAAGAAAGATGTGAGATTTTATTAGAACACAACATCAGTAGATTTGGAAAACCAACTAATGTTTATAACCCAATGTCATATTGGTTGGGAAAAAAAGTTTCTAAGTATAACATTACTAGTAGGGTTAATTACATGTAACAGTTTAGTTCCTATGTTTTAGACTTGATAAAAACAAACCTAAAGTTACAAGTTGTTACATCATTAGTCGATTTGTCCCTCAATCTATTAAGTTAAGTGCTTTTTTTTTTCTTTTTTTTTTTAATGATGTAGCACTCGATAGATCATCTTTCTACTAACATGGACGCCAAATTAATGTTTTTTTTCCTTCCCTATATCTTATCTAGGAAGGCTTAGGTCCGGTTATAACGTACTAACCATATATTAAGATCGAAACTCTAATTGTAAAACCCTAGGTTGAGTTACATGAGTATCCAAGCCTAATCGAGTCATAAGTGCCCCATAATTGTATTGTGGTAAGGGTTCGAGGCTTGAGAAATTTTAGAAACTTGAATTTAGGGTTTGGAGGCTCAAATCCATTTTCATAAATTAATAAATAATTTTAAAAGTCCACAAAATTATTTAAGATAAGTAGATATAATTAATTAGTATTTATTAAGTAATTTATTAAATTAATTAAAATACTTAATTATTAATTAAACAAAATAATTAATATAATTAAATAAGGCAAATAAATTACTTAATTGCAAATATTAAACTAAACAAACTAGTTTTGTATATAAAAAAATAAAATAAAAAATCCACAAGTAATTTAAAATAATTAACTACTATTTATGAAGTAATTGATGAAATTAGTAATATATTTAAATACTAATTATTCACTAAAGAAATAATAATCAAAATATAATTACTAGTTAAAGTAATTAAAAAAATGTTAAGATATTACTTCCAATCTTGTGCATTATAGCCGCCCGGCTATACTGTCAAATATTCGAATATATTAAAAAACGTATACACGAGCGGCTATACTTTTTGAATATTAATAAATTTTAACGGAACAGCCGCTCGGCTATACTTTAAAAAATTCGAATATACATTAAATGGTATAGCCGAACGGCTATACTATTAAATAAAAACATTTAAAAACCAGCGCGGTATAGCCGCCGCACGGCTATACTGAATATACATTAAAGCGTTTATAGAGTACCGCCGAGCGGCTATACTGTTAAACTATTCTATTTATAGATTACAGCTGCGCGGCTATACGCTAAAATCAACCGCCTAGGTGCTATGTGGGTTGTTTTAAATCCAATGGATAAATAGTATAGCCGCACGGCTGTAATGGAGTACTTTTAATTTTTTTTAAATAAATTGTACAGCCGTACGGCTATACTATTAAATAAAAAATTTAAAAAACAAAGGTGCTATGTGGGTTGTTTTAAATCCAATGGATAAATAGTATAACCGAACGGCTGTAATGGAGCACTTTTAATTTTTTAAATAAATTGTACAGCCGTACGGCTATACTATTAAAAAAAATTTGAAAAAACAAAGGTGCTATGTGGGTTGTTTAAAATCCAGTGAATAAATAGTATAGCCGCACGGCTGTAATGGAGTACTTTTAATTTTTTTACATAAATAGTACAGCCGTACGGCTATACTATTAAAAAAAATTTGAAAAAACAAAGGTGCTATGTGGGTTGTTTTAAATCCAATGGATAAATAGTATAGCCGCACGGCTGTAATGGAGTACTTTTAATTTTTTTTAAATAAATTGTACAGCCGTACGGCTATACTATTAAATAAAAATTTGAAAAAACAAAGGTGCTATGTGGGTTGTTTTAAATCCAATGGATAAATAGTATAGCCGCACGGCTGTAATGGAGTACTTTTAATTTTTTTACATAAATAGTACAGCCGTACGGCTATACTATTAAAAAAAATTTGAAAAAACAAAGGTGCTATGTGGGTTGTTTTAAATCCAATGGATAAATAGTATAGCCGCACGGCTGTAATGGAGTACTTTTAATTTTTTTACATAAATAGTACAGCCGTACGGCTATACTATTAAATAAAAAATTTAAAAAACAAAGGTGCTATGTGGGTTGTTTAAAATCCAGTGAATAAATAGTATAGCCGCACGGCTGTAATGGAGCACTTTTAATTTTTTAAATAAATTGTACAGCCGTACGGCTATACTATTAAATAAAAATTTGAAAAAACAAAGGTGCTATGTGGGTTGTTTTAAATCCAATGGATAAATAGTATAACCGAACGGCTGTAATGGAGCACTTTTAATTTTTTAAATAAATTGTACAGCCGGACGGCTATACTATTAAATAAAAAATTTAAAAAACAAAGGTGCTATGTGGGTTGTTTTAAATCCAATGGATAAATAGTATAGCCGCACGGCTGTAATGGAGTACTTTTAATTTTTTTTAAATAAATTGTACAGCCGTACGGCTATACTATTAAATAAAAAATTTAAAAAACAAAGGTGCTATGTGGGTTGTTTTAAATCCAATGGATAAATAGTATAGCCGCACGGCTGTAATGGAGTACTTTTAATTTTTTTTAAATAAATTGTACAGCCGTACGGCTATACTATTAAATAAAAAATTTAAAAAACAAAGGTGCTATGTGGGTTGTTTTAAATCCAATGGATAAATAGTATAGCCGCACGGCTGTAATGGAGTACTTTTAATTTTTTTTAAATAAATTGTACAGCCGTACGGCTATACTATTAAAAAAAATTTGAAAAAACAAAGGTGCTATGTGGGTTGTTTAAAATCCAGTGAATAAATAGTATAGCCGCACGGCTGTAATGGAGCACTTTTAATTTTTTAAATAAATTGTACAGCCGGACGGCTATACTATTAAATAAAAATTTGAAAAAACAAAGGTGCTATGTGGGTTGTTTAAAATCCAGTGAATAAATAGTATAGCCGCACGGCTGTAATGGAGTACTTTTAATTTTTTTACATAAATAGTACAGCCGTACGGCTATACTATTAAAAAAAATTTGAAAAAACAAAGGTGCTATGTGGGTTGTTTTAAATCCAATGGATAAATAGTATAGCCGCACGGCCGTAATGGAGCACTTTTAATTTTTTAAATAAATAGTACAGCCGTACGGCTATATTATTAAATAAAAATTTGAAAAACCAACGCATGATAGCCGCGCGGCTATACTGTTAAACTATTCTATTTATCAAGTACAGCCGCGCGGCTATATCCCAGGTGCTATGCGGGTTGTTTTAAATCCAATAATTATAGCCGCACGGCTGTAATGGAGTGCTTTTAATTTTTTTTAAAATAAATAGTACAGCCGTACGGCTATACTATTAAATAAAAATTTGAGAAAACAACGAAGTATAGCCGATCGGCTATACAGTTAAAATATTCGAATATACATTAAAACGTTTATATAGTACGGCCGCCCGGCTATACTGTGAACTAAGAGTACAGCCGCTCGGTATGCCGGTAAACTGTTTTATTTATAGAGTATAGCTGCCCGGCTATATTGGAGTGTTTTTAAATATTTTTAAATAAATAGTTCAGCCGGTCGGCTATAATCTTTAAATAAAACTTTTATTGTTATCTGAACAGAGTTGGGTTAGTATTCGAGCGTTGTTAGGGTTGGGGTTATCCTAGTATTCTAATTTCGAACAGGTTACAGCCTTATTCAGGAAAACCCTATCCCTGACCTCGCGCAGAAACGCACTCTAGCAGTCCCAGATCTGCCAAATCGATTCCGAGGTTGGTACTGACCAATTCTTATCTCTGGTTCCAATTGTCATTATCATCAGTTTTAAAATATTGGTTCTTGAATGTCGAAGTTTGATGATAATGATGTTAAAAGTTCATACTTTGTGTATATTTAGGGCAAGAAAAATAGACAGGACCTCAGTCGTGATTTTTTTTTAAAGATTAGAATGAAGATGGCTCTGTTGTTCTCACTATAGCGAATGGAGATGATATATGAGTGAATATAATTTTTATGATCCTAATAGTAGTAGTAATGGGGGCCTGTTAACATTTTGAATGCAGTGGAATTTCGCCAAGCTTGCTCTGGATTTCCGGTTTTGTGCCCCATTTCTTTGCCCCTCAAACCTACAAACGCAGTGTTCCTCTGTTTTATTAACTTATTGAGGAGAGAGGTATTATGCTTTGATATTGTAGAATGTGTTTAGCTTAAAGCCTTCATCATTTTCCTTGAAATTAATCTGAAACAATCCATTGAATTCCTCACTAGCATTTCAAGGAATTCAATTGGTATAACAAAATTCTCGTCTTATGCCTGCCTCCGCCAATGGCTTGATGCCTTTACCCTTCAGTACATTTTTGTGCTGATTACACTATGCTCCCTCAGTTGTAGCAGCATGGGTATCCGAGGCCGAACTGATGGTGATCGCCTGAGAACAGTCTGGACCCCCGAAATGGATCGATATTTCATTGATCTCATGTTAGAGCAAGTTTGCAAAGGAAATAAATTTGATGATCATTTATTTAGCAAGCGAGCATGGAAGCATATGACATCCTTGTTTGATGCCAAGTTCAAGTTTCCATATGAAAAAGATGTTCTGAAAAATCGGCACAAAACACTAAGGAACTTGTACAAGGCTGTAAGGAATCTCCTTGATCAGAGGGGCTTCAGTTGGGATGAAATGCGACAAATGGTGACTGCTGATAATAATGTCTGGGATGAATATATCAAGGTGCAATACTTAATCACTTAAACTTTTTATTTATTTTAAATTTCCTTCTCTCTTAACCATGTCAAGTGACTTACAGATTATGGTTTCAGGTACACCCAGATGCACGGTCATTCAGAATAAAAACCATCCCTTATTATCATGATTTGTGTTCAATATACGGTGACACAGCCATGGAAGAGAGAAGTAGGCGTTGTATCCTTGACACAAATGTTAAAAGTGAAATAGGATTAGGGACAGTTGATTTGTTGGGAGTTCTTAACTCTGCTTCTGCAACTGTTGATGGCAGGTGATAATATTCCCGAGGAGTCATCACATTCAGGTGAGAATGGTACAACTGCAGCCACACAGCCAAGGAGAGTTAGTCAGGGAACTGCTGAGACTCTTCAGGATATCATGGTTGGTGAAGATTATGGAGTCACTGTGCCAGCAAAGTCTTTTGATGATGTGGAGCATGCTATGACAAGTGTTCCTGGAATCACCACGAATAGTCGCTCCAGAACTTACTGGCAGCCACCCATGGACCGTTATTTCATTGAACTTATGCAAGAACAGGTGCGGAAAGGCAGCAGGATAGATGGTGTTTTCCGTAAACAAGCATGGATGGAGATGATTGCCTCATTCAATGCAAAGTTTGGCTTTAACTATGATATGGATGTTCTTAAAAATCGACACAAAACTCTGAAAAGGCAATATAATGTTATAAAGAATCTACTTGAATTGGATGGGTTTATCTGGGATGATGCGCGCCAAATGGTGACTGCTGATGATTATGTTTGGCAAGATTATATTAAGGTATGTATCTATTCAAGTGCAGCATGCTTATTCAACGGAAGACTGTATTATTATGTATTGCCCGTACATAATATTTCCGTTGAGTTCTATCTGTTTTCACGTAGGTTGAAGTGTTTAAATTTTACCTGTTTAGGATCTCCCAATATAATCTTGTTTGATACTCCGGAGTTTGAAGAAAATATTGTTATGGTAACATGCAGGAACATACTGATGCACGGCAGTTCATGACCCGGCCTGTCCCATATTATAAAGACTTGTGCATGATATGTGATCCAAGTGTTGACGATAGAGATTCCTATTCAGGTGAAGATGTGGAGCAAGAAAATCAAGTTGAAGGCGCCAAGTTGTGTGGAGCATTAACTAGTTTTCTGTCTCCATCTACATCGGTTTCCACTGAAGATGAAGATGGTGATGTGCAGGAGTCAACCCCTATGTGCCAGAAGAAAAGGCGTCGACTAGAAAACTGCCCAAATGAGGCTCATCCAAAAAGATCACGAGAAGAAGATGGTGGCATGGCTAGTGCTCTTCGTGAGATGGCATCTGCGGTATCTTCGTTATCAGAGAAGAAGAGAAATGATGAGAAGTTGAACTCTGGGTCAATAGAAAGTGTGGTTGAAGCAGTACAAGCATTACCAGACATGGACGAAGACCTTGTGTTAGATGCATGTGATTTGCTAGAGGATGAAAAGAAGGCAAAAACATTCATGGCATTGGATGTTAAATTACGAAAGAAGTGGTTGATGAGGAAACTTAGACCACAGTAGGGTCTTTCCAAAGTTGTATATTTTTTGTCGAATAGCATAGATTTTTTCTTTTAATGGTAAAAAAAAAAGAGAGCATAGAAATGGAAAGGAAAATTAACATCAGCTATATGCTTTCATATGAAATAGTTTAGGATGCTTGTTTGGAAGAGTATTGGAGAGAGAGTGGTTATATTTATAAGCAAGTGCTAGAAGTTTGCCATCTTCATAAAAAATTTAGTATTATTATAAGCAGCGCAGCCGAATTTACCACAATAGTATCATTCATCATTAGTACTAATACTCACTCGACGCCAACATCATCTCTCAAACGCGGATATGATATGCTGCTTCTAAGAACTGCTGGGGTAGAAGCAGGCGGCATCAATGAATAACTTTGACAAAGCTCGACTTACCCCAAAAAAATTAAAATTAAAAATTAAATTAAAAATAAAAGTTGATAAGCTGTGGTTCCAGACCTTGTTAAGCTAATTAAAACAGGTAATGGCTGATTATGTGGCATTTTGCCATGTTTTAAGGCGTTTGTCAAGTAAATCGCCCACAAGTTAAAAATAAAAATAGGAAGGTTTGGGTCTACGAAGAAAGTTTTTTTCTTAAATGAGTAGAATACAATATAAAATGAGAAATTTGTGGTTCCTCCAACCTTGATTGATCTTTATAAGATACAAGTCACAAAACAAGAAATTTTCGTTTGTACTTCAATTTGGCTTGTGCGATGAGCAGCGGCGGCAAAATAGGAATCAAAAGCGGTAGGTTTTTTGTGGTTATTTAGGCCAAGCTCTCCGAAAGGACTTGTATAAAAATGAGCCAATCAGCTGTTTACAACAGGTACTTACTACCCAAAAAAATTAAAATTGTACCAAAGTACATCTAATCATAGCTTTAGTTTGTTAATAACATCCTAAAATATAGTTCAAACTCATAAGATATTTTAATAAACTTACTATTGCTGTGAACTTTAAATATTCTTTTATATATAAAAAATTAATTTAAAAAAATTCAATTTTGGCTAGTAAAGATTCCTCATAGTAATATATATGGTATATACATATGTAGTATATTTGTTACCCCGTAAATAACAGCAGACGAGAAGATATTTCTTATTGAGATTGAGATTGAGATTGATTTTCTTCTGTGATAAAAAGCCATAATGGAAGAAGATGAATTTCCCATTGGTTTAAAGATTCTTGTTGTAGATGATGATGAGACATGTCTCTTTATATTAGAAAGGATGCTTCAGTCTCTGAAATACCAAGGTACATCAATTTCGTTTTTCATGTGTCTCTTTCTCTATTTGAATCAAACTTAGCACTTTTGTGATACTACTTAATTATATGCTTTTGCCAACTTACAGCACGTAGTTCGATTCTCTTTCTTTCTAATTGTCTGCTTCCTTGGGTCGGGAGAATCGATGGTATATACATATGTTGTGATTATACTACATACGTACTAGGGTTTTTCTTTCTTCTTCAAGGAAGGAGAATCGATGGTATATACATATATTGTGATTATACCACTAGTACATTAAAGAAGAAGGAAAAAGGACCAAGAATTTATAGGCCAACTTTTTCTTCATGTATGTGAGTTGGAAGTTTTAAACTTGTACAAAATAGTAGAGACCTTGCCTGAATGCATTCGATCGTTGTTAAACTATATATAGTACTGAATAAGTTGATATATTTTCAGTTACCAAATGCCGGGGTGCAGAGGAGGCTCTATGTATTCTTCGAGAGGATAAAGGCAAGTTTGATATAGTGATTAGTGATGTGCACATGCCCACCATGGAGGAAGGATTCAAGCTCCTTGAGACAGTTGGTTTGGAGATGAAATTGCCTGTTATCAGTACGTACATTATATATATATTTGAAACCCTAGCTAGCTACATGCGCATTATATTAATTGTATATCGAATTAACATATGCAATTTCAATTTCAATTATTAATTATTGTATGTATGCACTACTCTTTCAGTGATGTCATCGGATGATAATCATGAGACGATGAAGAAGGGCATCATTCATGGTGCTTGTGATTATTTGGTGAAGCCGTTCCAGAGGACGGCTCTTAGACTGATTTGGCAGCATGTGGTCCGCAATAGAAGAAACATGGTAGCACTCGCAGCTGCAGTTGCAGAGCCCAAGTCATGCGTTTTGGTGGAAGATGATGATGATGATGATCTTGTTGCCTCTCCAGCGAAGAAAAGAAGACGCCTAGTTTGGACAGCACAGCTTCATCATCAGTTTGTCACTGCTGTGAATCAACTTGGGCATAAAAGTACGTACTACGAATGCTTTACCAACTAATTATATATAAATAAAACGATCATTAACCAACTAATTATATTTATATATATATATCACATTAATAATGGGTACTATTATATTAATTCATTCTTGTTTTGGGTGTTCTTTATTAATTGATATATATATATATATGCAGATTGTCATCCAAAGAAAATTTTGGATCGTATGCAGCAAATGGGTGCTCGTGGTCTTACTAGAGAAAATGTCGCTAGCCACCTTCAGGTATATATATGTGTCTTCATGGTTATCCTTGTAATAAGCATTAACCTTGCATCTTTGCTTTGCATAGTCAGTGTATGCTTTGTTAATTGTCGTGAGCTGAGGTAGGCTAAACGAAGAAACTCACATAATATACTACATGATACAGAAATACCGCATCCATTTTAGAAGGCAGAATGAGGCATCACAAAATCAGAGAAGACAATCCACATCTACTATTGGTTCTAGTTCTAGACAACCAAATTTCAACTTCTCATCTTCATCGAATGATTTGATCAGACTCCAAGATTATGCCAATTCAGGACAAATGCCACTTCAAAGTTTCACTACTTTTCCACAAGTAGCGGGAGCTGTAAGTGAGAGGCCAGAACCCAAATATGGCATGCTTCTTGCTGATCAAAGAAACCTCCCTTTGGACTCGAGAACGCTGGGCGAGCCAAGATACGAAATGGAGTACCAATTAAGCAACAGTAGTCCATTACAAGCAAATTTACAATCTGAAATTCCAACCACCATGGACCTTAAACACCAAATTTTGTTACACGAACAACAACAGCAACAAAAACAAGAAGAAGAAGCTCATCTTCAAATCCTTGGAAACAGGGGCTTGCAAGTAATTAGTGAAGGTACAAGTATTCAGAAGAACTCAACATCACTAGGGGCGAACTCACCTAGAGTCGATGGAAATCAGAGTCACCATTTGACGTTGAAAGACATTGCACAAGCAATGCAGATGGTAAATGGAACCGCGCCTGCTAATCATGATATTGGTCAAAGTCAGACTAGTCTGAACCAGGATGTGACAGAATGCAATGCTACAACATTCTATCCCACAACACACGAGAGTACACCTTGTGGAGAACATTATAATTTCTACATAAATGAATCTTGTTTTGGCATCCCTACAATAGAGGAACAGCATTATATTAAGGACATGGGGAGTATTGTTGATGAGCATTCCAATTGGGACAAGTTGTTAGTTGATGATTCTCAAAGGTTCAAGGCCGGAAGCTGTTCGTATGATCAACCAAGTTTTGAGGCTTTAATTTATGCGCAAAACCATGTTGCTATCGATGATTACATGCCAAGACCATTCATAGAGGTTGGTTTGATCCATCATTAGTTATTTGTGACTTTCTCTGTTCTGTTGGTAGTTGGTACATGCTGTTTCTTTTCTGTAATGTTTTAGATTTCTTGTTTTCTCCTATTTGCAGGAAGGAACTGGGCTGCCTGCGCGATATCAAAGATAATAGGGATTCCCAATGCATGCTTGGGTTGGGAGGGATAATGGTACTGCACTCTGCTGATACTCCTGAACACTACTAGTCCATTAATTGTTGTATGATGAATTGCATTATCTTGTGGAAGTTTTCCCTCTCTCTCTCTCTCTCTCTCTCTCTCTCTCTCTCTCTCTCTCATATTCTGAAATGAGCTCTTCATTTCATTGTTGCTTAAAGACATGGATCCTGTATAATAGGTTTTCCTAGAATCTATAGATTGAGGATGAGCTCTGTCTTACACTCATAATCACTTGTATAGATATTTTGTAAAGACTCTTGCATTAATTAATTCTCACAAACTTGCGTTACAACATGGTTCCACTCGACAAGTACATTGATGCTTCTCTATTAGTATTACACAGTTGATAAAGTCCCCATCGGTCATGTTGGTGTGGCACATTTAAAACCATAAAATAACTTTATATAAAACAAACTCAGTAATCAAATCAAAGTCTCAATCCATATTGATTGACAAGCCTAGCCATGAATGATAAAGATGGAGACCATCCTTGTTAGGGAGTGGGATTTGGCAAGGATATCCATGTGTTGTTTGTCCCTCCCACATCTTACTAAAAGTTAAAGCCTCTATTGAGTCCAGAATTTATTTGCTGCTAGCTATTGAGTCCAGAATGTCTCACATCAACATCAACATCCCTTTTTTCTATTTAAATTTTAGTACCACCAGACCAGATCATAGTTATCACTTATTATTACTTATTTAGTAATAGTATACAAAAGTGATTTTGCTACTTCAAATGTCACCTTCCACACTCATCTACCACTCGTAGTGCATTAAAAGTGACTTTGGTCTCTTGCGCTTAGGGCTTGGCAGAACTTGAGGCATCCTGTTAGATGCTTCATTCCTGTACTGTGAAAGAGGCAGTTAGCAAGTGGGTGAGTAAACGTGCTACAAATAGCATTTGAGACCTTTTTGGGTGGACTGAAACTGGTGAAGACATTTGTCATAGGCATCCCAGCCTTGTAAAATTGTTTGAATTTGCCGTATTCTGTGAAATGAAATGATTATCCACTTATTATTAGCTTGTTATCTTGTTTGCAATGAATCGAAGGATTCTGGTGTGCATTAGATTAGAAGGGTGGTGCGCTTAAGCTTAGTTTTCTGTCTTTGTTTTGGTCTTTTAGGCAATGAGGCTGGCTCTTGGCCCCATGATTCAATTATGTATGTATGTATGTATGTATGTCCTCGTAGTACCACTAGAAAAGGAGTAGATAGCCTCCCTAAATCCATACCTATGGGTATGAGGGTATGGGTCTATGATTAGATTAGGCAAGCAAATATGTACATAACTTACTTGATAATAATAAATGCATCTTCTAAGAAGAATCTAAGATGGACCATTGAATTTGAGAGAGAGACATATTGTTATTATTACTATTATACAAATTTATAAATAAACCAAATCCTAGACATGTTTTTATAAAAAAAAATCCAAACACTATTTAAACATAGAAACACACCCAAAATCAACCCCAAAATTAACTTTTTGGGTGTGTTTATAAATGGGGTTTTGAGTGTGTGTAATGATGGATTTTGGGTGTGTTTATATGTTTAAATAGTGCTTGAGTTTTTTTATAATTTCAACCCCCATTTTGGGTGTTTTAGTGAAACTCTCTTATTATTATTATGGTCCCCTCCCCTCCTCCACGCTCGGTTAGGCTTAGGGTAGGATAGGGTAGGGTTGGGAGGGGCCTCATATCTCTCTCTCTCTCCATTTGCTCTTGAGTCTTGGCTAAAAAACCCAAGTAAATGCGCACAGGACAGCTATTAGAAGCCCGAATAGACTTGTGAAGCGACTTCAAATGGACTTATTCCCAAACTCGTGCACCCTTTGATATCCATGTGGAGTGGAGATATTAGGGACGGAGGGACCAAATCAAAATATGTGGTTGGTTCTTATTACTTGATGATGATTAAAAGTTGTATGTATGCTATATGCTATAAATAAGATTCGGAGAGAGTGAGTAGAGACGAGAGGGAGAGGGGGGACCATCATCCCAATCCGATCGCGATGGGTTACACACTAGACTCCCCTCCCCTCCCCTCCCCTCCCTGTATCTCTCAACAGAATGAATGGGCCTCTACTCTTTCAGTAAGTAGAGCTTTCATTCGAGTAGTGCAATTCAATACGCATGAACAGCATACTCTCAATTCACTTTCCTCCCCCACCACATGCTATTATTATTATTATTATCTTATTATTCTTGTTACAATAAAACACTAGCGGGGTAGGAAAGCAACAGAAAATTACCTTCTCTTCTTTTCTTAAATGGGAATGCCCTGGGCGTAAAGCCATTGTTTGTTTGAATCAACTTTCATCCTAAAGCTGCACCTCATGATTATATGGTTGAATTGAATTGACCCAACCCAACCCATTTCTATTCTATTCTATTCAGGTTGTTGTTTCACCCGTGCGTGCCTGCAGCTGCATGCATTGACTGCATTCTTCTTCTACAACATCACTAGAACCATCCCGCCAGCGCCTCTCACCCGACGACCACACAAAAATTTAATTCTATTCTCCTCCTTCTTTTTGTCTGAGAGTGACAGCAAAGGAAGAAGGGGGAGGTGCTTGAGACTGATTCTAACAAGAAGAATATGGGATGGAAGCAACAAGAAGAAACCCCAAAAATAAAATAAATAAAAATAGATGATGACCCACCAAAGCAACTGGACACGTGCGATGGCGGGGCATAAGGAATCGGTCCCAATCATTCTCCGTCCAGTGGCTTGGACACTTGCTACGCTAAGCAACAGTGACTCCCAATCCTTCCTTCCCCATCATTAGCAATAATCTTCATCCAGTTTTTGGGATCGGTGGATTAATCATTGAGATTAATAAGCAGAAGCACTCATCATCATCAGTTCAGATAAAGATGGCGATGCAAAGACAGAATGAGGGATTAGGATTTAGCTCACAACAACCACCCACAAATATCAGTGTGCTCATTCATGCATCTATGATCTATCTACACATGCAAATGAGTGAATAAATGAAAACCCCGCAGTGTACACTACTACAGGTACATTGGTAACTTAACAACAAGCAGCTATGTCATCTACCTTATTTGGGTTAAAACTAATACAAATTTATAAATAAATCCAATCCTAGACATGTATTTATAAAAAAAACTCAAACATTATTTAAACATAGAAACACATCCAAAATCAACAATTGTATATTTTTTGGGTGTGTTTATCAATGGATTTTGAGTGTGTGTAATGATAAGTTTTGGGTGTGTTTATAAAGTGTTTTGGGTGTTGAGTTTTTTTATAATTTCAGCCCCTATTTTGGGTGTTTTAGTAGAACTCCCTAAAACTAAAGGAGAGGCCACTTCCATTGATTACCAAAACAGAGTGCCTTACCATAAAGTGAAGAAACTCCCAAGAACCAAACAGGCACCAGCTACTCAGCTAGCCACCATTGATATGCCCAAGCCCTAGAGACACTCGTAAACATAAATGTCTTATGTTCCCCAGTTGCCAACGTACTTGAGCTACTTTCATTTACTCCAAAACTGCAAATCGCCCATTTCGATTTCGACCTAGTATGTATTACTTGAAGAATTTGGAGTTTGGAGGCCACCCAACCCAACCCTCCCTTTCCTTTCCTTATTCCCCCCCATTAGTACATGTATGTAATCAAATGTCATCTTGGCTTTTAAGCTTGCTTAGCTTTTCTTCCTATTCTATTCCCTCTCTCTCTCTCTCTCTCTCTCTCTCTCTCTCTCTCTCTCATACACAGTGTGAGTGAGTGAAGTGAATTCTCTTCTGTTTGGCCCTAACAAAAACGCATTTCACAAACACACTATTCAACAAAATCTATACAATAACAAATTGAATATCCCCTTTGTTTTTCTCCTTTTATTTTCAGTGGCACGAATAATAGAAGAATAGAGTACAAATTGCCTGAACAGCAGAGTGACAGATCACCTAATCATTAACAAAAATTTAACAGGAAAAAAAAAAAGAAGAAAAAAATATCTGAGTAGGTCACAGGTCACACTAAAGTGAGGAAGAAGGATGAAGATGACCAAGACAACCGACACAAAACGAAAACAATTAAGAGAAATTAAAAAATGAATGGAAAAAAAAAACAAAAAAAACAATGGCAAATTCAGTCGGGAAATTAAAAAAATAATAGCAAACGATGTGACAAAATAAGACCTGGAGGGAATTTACCGGCGACTAGACTACCCCTTAATTTGACCTTGAGCTTCAATTTCATTTAGTGTGTCCGTACAAGTCGTAGGGTGACCAGAGGGCGTCGAGCGGGCAGGGCCGCTTGGAGTCCAGCCTGAGCCAGGGCTTGCCACTGCCGGACCAATGCAGGAGGCTAACCGGACCGGAATGGAGGTCACGGCAGCTGCCCTTCACATTATCGCCTCCCAAGCCGTGTTGATTCCACCTGTGCTCGATGGGCGCCACGTGTCCCGCGAAAACCAAAAGGAAGGGTGGCAGCGATCCGAGCTCGTAGATCCGGCGGTTCTTCTGGATCTCCATCCATTTTTCGATCCGCTTGGTGTACCTGCCCCGCCTCCACTTTATCAGATCTATGACCATGACGCCGGTGTTAAAGTAACAGGGTTTCCGGCCATCAAATGTGCCGGAAAGCCGCTTGTCCGACCAGAAAGCGGGGGTGAAGTATTTGGTGAAGTTGGCGTGGCAGTACTCGGGCGCCCCGATGGTTCTGGAACCGAGGCTGGTGGTCCAGAGCCTGGAAATATCATCGACGACGACGAGATCAGAGTCCAAGTAGATGACCCGCTCGACGCAGGTCTCCAGCAGATCCGCCAAGTAGTTGCGGGCGTAATTGAGCGGCTGCTCCAGCGCTTGCCTCACCGACGTCGAGATCAGGCTCCGTACCATCCGTGGGTCGAAGTAGTAGACCCTAAACTTCAACTGCGGGAAAGTGGATTGGACCACGGCTTCCAGATTCGTCTCCGAGACGAGGAAGTGGAAGAAGACACTCTCCGGGCACAGCGAGTGATACAGCACAGAGTGGACGGCGGCGATTGACCCACGGAGATACTCAACGTCCAGAGTGATGGCCACGTGTACCAAATTGGGATCGCACGCATCCCCGATTTGGGTCTTGGCACTTGGGGATGCACATTCATTGGAATT